ATTAAATGGCTATATTTTAATTTCTAAGGCTTATAGTTGTTTTTTTAGTGCCATCTATATTATTTCTATTTAAAAATAATCTTTTTTGTTTACTTTTCAGGATTTCATTTATTTATCATTATGAGGACCTTAAGCAACTTAGTTTTAAGTCATTTTTAGCATGTTTCATAATTTTCATTTTTACTTTAGGTGAGTTCATTTGCCAATCATCTTTCCTAGCTTTGTGTGTGTGTGTGTGTGTGTGTGTGTGTGTGTGTGTGTGTGTGTGTTAAATTATGATTTGTTTGGAACAATACATTTTTTTTCTCTCTCAGTCTCTCCTCTTTCTTGCTCTCATTCCATCGTTCTCTTTCTCCACACCCTGAGCTAATCTCTCTGTATAATTCTTCTGCAGCTGTTCCCACCTGGACACATGGGATCCCAGTGGAGAATTAAGTTATATCCTAGTGGTTCAGAGATTTATCCTTTGGTCATGTTGCCGATTTAAGCTTGTTCAGTAGGTCATATCTAAGTTTTCCCTCCTCCCTAAGCATACAGCTCTTTGTAAACCATAGATCATAAAGTGGTCAAGAGCAGAATGTTTTCCAGAATCCTTGTAAAATTTGTGAAGCTTGGTTTGTAACCCAAACCCTTGTTTTAATCTGTCTTCCTAACAAATTTCTCCTTATTTATACTGAACATGTAATGAAATGCTCACCAGAAAACAAACTTTGACTTCCATTGCCTGCTTCCAGGCCAGCCTGCAGACAGCTTTGCATTTCTCTTCCATTTCTGACCCTCGAGGTATTTATCTTATGCTGATATCTGGTACGTCTTCCTGGTGATCTGCTTCATATTTTATCAATTATTTCTATATGTTTAGAGCAAAAGAGGTATCGCTTTTGCTCTAAACATATAGAAATAAGAATTACACCTGGCATTCCCAGAACCCAGTATTTTCGGAGTTGTAAGTCCTAGCTGTTCCATGCCCTCAGCCTGCTTCTTGTCCCAAAAATATTTAGCCACGAGGTACCTGCTAAGCTGCCTGCAGGATGTTTATGCTCTAACTGAGGACAATAAAAGTCTAGAACATAATGAGTCAGTAGTATTGTGGGGTGCCATTCCAAGCTCCTTCCATTACTGTGGCAGTTATGAGACACATCTTGCTGTTGAATTAAGGCTACGCACAGCCCAAATTGTTTTTAACTCTAGAAAGTTGCATTGACTAAATAGCGCCCATATCTAGAGGCAGCTAACATCTAATTTCTGGTCAATGATGAGGGGAGGGGGATACAGGCTCAGGCCCCTTGCCTCTATTCTGGAAGACTCTGAAAAACCATCTGGCTCCACAGCTCCCCAAGGACCAATTGATGGATCCCTACAAGTGCATTTGTGTCCAGCTTCTCCCTTGACTCAGTGCTGCCTCCCTCAATTACCATCTGGACATACTGGTGCTGTGGCAGAGGCTTTCCCCAGTAACTTCCTGCACCCCAATCTTGATCGCAGAGTCTGTTTCCTGGTAACCCAACCCAGGACAGCAATTAACATTATAAGATAAATATTCCCTAGTATCAGCCATAGACAATATGTAATATTCGAAGTCCCTTTGAGGAAGAAATGAGAGCTGGTCATGAATGATAAATTTAAAAGGGGGGTTGGAGTGGACACTTGTGAGGTGGGCAGCTTCGTGTCCTCTTACCCTGTCCCTGAACTGTCACTCCCTTGTACCTACCCCCAAAGCATTATTTTTCTCTTTGGCACCATTTTTCTCTCTGATGGTAGTGTCAGTTTCATTATAGGGGAACCTTTTAGAAGAAATTACAACACTTTAAAAGTTATTAAATAATAACACTTAAAGCCCGGGTAATAAATGATAGGTCCAAATGGGAAGAAGGAAAAAAAAAACTTCGTTGGCTTCAATAATGTGCCAATAAAATTATTGGGGATAGAAAATTGAGCTTTTGCAAGGGAGGATTAAGGGTGGGCTGCAGTGGGGAATTCCAAGTTTCACTTGGAGACATTCACTGGAAGTTTTTAGTCCAATTTGTGAAGGAGGGAAGAACTCTAGGGGAAGTGAACTTGTCATCCATTCTTCCATTAGCTTTTGTAGTGTTCCCAGAAGCTTCTCTGTGATTCACTTTTTAGCAAAAATGGGTGTTTAGGAGTGCTGGATTGATCACCTTACTGATATTTCAAATAGACTCAGTAGTTTTTTTGATATCAATGAAATGCCCCTCTTTTCAGTCAAATAGTTAGTATTAGCAACTACATATAGTCCACTTGAAAACTCTACTGCTTAGTTTATTTTGAAGTCCCAGAACACTCTTTTCAGTTAAAAAGGGTCAATATTTAACCTCATTGTGAATTGAAAAGATGCAGTTTATGAAGCAATAATAGTTTATTTTTGCAAGCTCTCTGTGAGGACAAATATTACAAATAAAGTATATGAATAAAACCCAAGCTAAAATTTATTAAAAAAATTAAACTGTACTTCCTTTCTGTATTTATTATTTCCATTAATATTAAATTTCTTCTGCTTTGACATTGTAATAATAATAATAAAAAAGAATGTATAAATATACAGTTTGGTACCATGTCATTTCTGGCCAAATTGCCTGTTTTATGAATCTATCTGGGTAATTTTTGCAAATCATCTCGATGTTACCACATATGTTTTTTTATTCTTTTAAATATATGCCACATTTTCTTATGTTTCTAATTATGAGTGATTATTAGGTGACATATCTTTGGGTAATTTGTATTTCTTGTATAAAAAAGAGAGTACTCACAACAAATGGGCAATATAATATCCTCAATTATTTCTGTACGCACAACATATTTCTGAAACCAGAGAAATAGAGATCTTTTCTGGAGATGCCATGAATTAATTAGAGCATGACTGCAATTAGGTGTGTGTGTGTGTGTGTGTGTGTGTGTGTAGTATCTTTTATCCATTTCTGTCCTGTTGTTTTTCATGATTAAAGTTCAAAGTTTTCCTTTAGTATCATTCCCCTGCAGCCTGAAGGAACTACTCTGCTTTAGCATTTTGCTTAGAGCAGATATCCTAGTTACAAATACTTTTTGTTTTCCTTCAACTGAGAATGTCTTTCCTGCCTTCCTTCCTGAAGATTGTTTCCACAGGTTATAAAATTCTGAGTTTAGTTCTTTTTCTTCACAACTTTAAAGAAGATGTTCCACTGTAAACTGGTTTTCATAGTTTGTAGTTAAAAAAATACGTGGCTATTCAAATAGTTGTCCCCCTGTATTTATGTGATTTTACCTTTCATATTTAGATCTTTATTCATATGGAGATCACCTCTGCGGCAGGGACTGTGATTATTGAGCCAGTTTTTCATTTGCTGGATAGCCTCCTCTTTCCTCTTGATTTAAGGAATAATGTTGATATTTATCATATTCATATAGTTTTTTTCTGAGCTCAATATGATATTCCATTTGACTTTTCTTCCTTCTCCATAAAGAATCAAAGTTCCTATTTGTTTGTCTGTTTTAGTTTTAACTTATGGGTTTATGACACATCTTAATGTTTGTTAAGATACAGAAACCTCACCCACTTTTGGTCTTATTTCTCAAAATTTTATAATTGACCTAGCAATCAATAAACTTTTATTCTTCCAGAGATATATTTTAAATAAGGTTGTTGACTTTTCAAAAAAATATTTTCACATCTATTTTTCAATATGTTTGTTAAGGCCTGAAAATTTCTACACCTATTTAATTGAAATTACATTGAATTTATAACTTTAAATTTGGAAATAATTGACATTTTTTATCATATTAAGTCATCTGATTAATGAATATGACAAATCTCTTTATTTACTCAGGTATTCTTATTTTTTTTACTATTGATTTTTATAGTTTTATAATAAAGGTCTTGTGTCTTCTTTATTAAGATTGATTTTGAGATACTTGTACTAGTTAGGGTTCAACCTATAAGAATTGGCTTACACTATTGACTATGTAACTGGCTAAGAAAGTCTAAAATTTATAGGGCAGGTTTCTGTAGGAATTAAAAAAAAAAAATAAAATTTGTGAAAACAAGTCAGTTGATTATGGACTTTTAGCACATATGTAAACTTACACCAACATCTGAATTAGTATTTGATTAAATAATGGGATTGTAGCCTAACCAACTGACACATCGGTTAAAATCATTACAATACAGTTTTTGTTGCTAATTTAAGTTGTATATTTGTCTTTTATTTGATTATTGTTAATGTAGAGGGGCTGTATTGATTTCTGTAAGATAATCTTGTGCCTGAATCATTTTCTTGTATTGGCAGTAGCTTTAGTTGACATTTCTATATAGATAATATTATCTAAAGTAATTCCATTTGATCATTTTATTGGCAAATAATTCTAGTTATTTCAACTCTTTATGTTTTTCTTACCTTATAACATTGACCCAGTGATATGTTATGTGGAGCATATCAAGTGTCTTTGATCACTATAAATGCTGTTTCAGTTTATTAGAAAATACCTTTTTAAAAAATAATTTGTGGCTATATTTATAAGTAAAATGGCCTTATATTTTTCTTTCTTTTCTACACTTATTTAGGTTTAAAATTAACATTAATTTTAAACCTAAATAATCTATCTTTGTAAATATTTTAGGAAACTTGCCTTTTTTTCTACTCTCTGAAACTATCCTTTATTAGATAGGGATTATATGTTTCTTCAAAGATTGCAGAACTCTCTAATATAATTCCCTGGGCTAGGGAGTTTTTGTGGTTTCATTTTGAGGTAAAATATCATGATAGTAGAAAAGCATGTTTCTTTTACATGGAAGTTTTAATCAATGTTAATTGTAATTTTTTCCAAAGGAAATAAAATAGCTTTTATCTTCAGACTAATAGGTAAGGGGTCATTGTTACACTTTGTATACTTTGAGTCAGATTACACAATAGATTATATAGAAACACATTTTATGCTGAACTGTACAAAGGTGAGCATGAGTGTCTTTCATCTAAAGTTCTCTCAAAATCTCTGCTTTTGTCCCCTAGGACACACGGGACGGTTGTTAAAGTCTCTGTGCTTCACCAGTCTTTCCTTCCTGATACTGCACATCATTTTTCACATCACGTTGGCTAGCCTTGAAGCTCGACACCATATTGCACCTGGTTACAACTGTGAGTACTAATGTGTTTTGGATTATGTAAGTGCATAATAAAGCTATGTGTCCTAACTCTCATAGAAATCTATGTAATAATTATATTATCAAATTCATGACATTTTTTTGTCATTTGGCAATCCTAAATATTATATATACATATAGAGACATGTTGTCATGGAGAATTGGGTAATACTAGCAACTTAATTAAATGAATCTTCAATGTATATTAGATATTAGATCCCTATCTGTATGTAAGACATTATCATTGGGCATAATCCCCAAAAGTCAGCATTTACATATAGTTCCCGGAGCTTACAGTACAGCTAATGAGACAAGACATGTATAGTTTCTAACATGATAAATAAGAATATATAAAAGTAGAATACCATTTTACCATTTAGTGGCCTAAATCCTATTCTGAAGTATAGTATAAAAATATTTTATATGTCTTTATGGGAAAAATGTAATGACATACAGTTTCTCTTTCAAATTGGGAGTTCTTTGTTTCTATTTATAGGAAAATAATGTCTTGCATGCATTATATTTTGAAGTGGTGATCATAAAAATTCAACACATATATGCTTTATCTAAATACTATCATCTTTCTAAAATTAACTGGCCATCAGTTCAATTCTACTTCAGTTTTTGAAGGATGTATGGTTGTGATTTGAAAAAAAAAAAAAAAAGAAGCATTTCCAATAGTTGGAATGTTTTAAGTTAAGCCTCAAGAAACCCTGAGATAATTGAAATAGACTATAATGTTTTCAATTATCATTTTTTCTTTGAAGACATCATTTGTGAGTTTGAAATTTCCTGATTTTCATAAGTACAGGTATAAGTAATTTGAAGAAAATCTATGCGTTCCTGTAAAATAAGGTCAAAATTCTTTACAAATTAAGAAGTATTAACATATACATAGTGAGAGATTCTTTAGTAAAACCATACTTATAAACTATTGAGTAACTCTCACTGGACAACTTGAGAGAGCTAAAGTTTGTATTCATTTTGGTCATTTTATTGAGTTCAGAGTTTTTATTTTATTTTATTTTAGATCTGGTTATTATTTTAAAAAATTGAAATATAATTGAAAGCCATAAAATTCATCCATTTGAATAATGTAATTCAGTGATATATAGGTTGTGCAATAATCACTACTATCTAATTCTAGAACACTTTCATCACTCCAAAAAGATACCATGTACCCATGAACAGTTACTTCCTATTCCCTCTTGACCCATCTCTAAGCAGCCACCAATTTTCTTTCTTCTTCTATTAGATTCCCCTCTTCTGGACATTTTATGTAAATAGAATTACACACCATGTGATATTTTGTGTCTGGCTTCTATCTCTAAGCATAATGTTTTCAAGGTTTGTCTATGTTGTAACATCTTTTAGTTCTTCATTCCTTTTCAAAGTTAAATAATAGTCCATTATTAAGATGTGGCTTTTTAATGTTTAGTAGAAGTCACTTCATTATTAAAACTTTATAAAATACAATGTTTAAACATAAATAGAACTTGCAGTGATAAAGAGTATTTATTACATTTGGCCAGTTTCAAATCATTGTGGACTTAGTAGAAATGATATCAGTGGTATTTTGTACTGTTCCTCATTCAAAAATCATTTGTATATCTATATATATAAAAGCCCAAGCGACCGAATGACTGAACAACCAACCAACCAAATGACTGGTCAACCAGTTGCTATGATGTGCACTGACCACCAGGGGGCAGAGAATCAAGGCAGGAGCTGCCCCATGGTGGTCAGTGAGCTTCCATAGAAGGAGAGCTACTCAGGTAACTGACCCATCCTGGTGGCCCAATAGTCCAGTGGCAGCCTCTCCCTCCCTCAGTAGTCCTACACGTCCAGTCTCTGGAGAATGGGCCAGGAACTCATGGATCAGTGCCACCAGCATGATTCCAACAGTGCCACTGGTTCAAAGGTACCCTGGCTGCTTTCCTTCCCTAGACGCTGTGCAAGGAAGAAATTATATAAAAGCAGCTGCCAAGTTGCTCCTGACAACCTGTGTGAACTTCAGTGGGATGATCCAGATTCTGGGCCAGCAAAGGCATCCCACTGCCAGCCCGGAGGGCCAATTGCATCCTGGCCCTACACCAACTGCTCAGAATGGGCGCCAGATGCAGGGCTCATGGCTGGTGAGCACTGCTGTGGTGGTGAGAACCTCTCCTGATCAGGACTGACTGGGTATGAGCCCCCAGCAGGCACAGTAGGGCCAGGATGAGCTGGAGTGGCAGGCTGGAGCGGTAGGCGGCATTGGACTTCGGTTTTGGCCCAATCCCCGCAGGCCATGCCAAGGGACCCAATCCGTGCATGCATTTGTGCACTGGCCTCTAGTCTCTTAAGTCATTCCCAAACTATAAGGAAGAATTTTGAATGAAAGGCTAGTTCACAAATAATGAGTTCCTCATCTCATTAAATACTATGAACTATTAAATCACAGGTATATTTCAAATAATCAGATTCTTAACATTTGAGTTTATAAATATATATTTTGCCTGCTTTTACAAATAATTTTAGGTGCTGAGTGATATTGTAGAAAGGATTTAATGGCAGTTTCTATATTAGAAAGTGAAATTCATAATTTCTTCTGATTCAGAGAGACTAGGTATTTATATTCTTATTCAAAATGATGATTTTCCACAATTCTACATGAGTCAAAATAAAAAATGTAATCTACAATAACAAAAGTGTAATATGCTAATTAGACCAGATGTCCTTCCGGGCATCCTTTTAGATGACCTTCCAGGCAAAGCCAGGTTGCAAGGGAAGCCTGGGTCCCTGGTGCCTGCTGGTGGCCGGAGGGAAGCCCGGGTCCCGGTTGCCAGAAGGAAGTTGGTGCCAGCAGCTGAGGGAAGGAAGGCCTACTCTTGCATGAATTTCATGCATCGGGCCTCTATTAAGTAATATTAAAACAATGTTCCCTTTCTTACCTTTATTAATGTTTTAGGTCTAGTAATAATTAATGTCGTTTTCTAATACTTTTTTTAAAATCGAATTTATTTAAACAATACAACAAACTTTAACCAACAATATAGTTGCTGTTGTTTTCTACTACTTGTGCCCAATGCTCAGGAAGCATTTTAATCCCTCTGTTGTAAAATTCTTGTGATTTTGATGCAAAAATTCGGTCAGTGCATTTTTGAGGCATTCTTCATTATTAAATTTTTTTCCAAGAAGAAAGTTTTGCAAAGAACGAAACAAATGGTAATAGGAAGGGGCAATATCAGGAGAATATGCAGGTTGAGGGAGAACTTCCCATTCCAACTGGCGCAGTTTTTCAGCAGTGATTCTTGCAGTATGCGGTCGTGCCTTATCGTGGTGAAGAATTACGCCCTTCCGATTAATCAGCGCAGGTTCTTTTTCTCTTAAAGCTTGGGCTAACCTTTCCAATTGGGCACTAGACACTGCACTTGTAATGGTTTGGTTAGATGGTAAAAGTTCATAATGAAGAATTCCTTTAAAATTCCACCAAACACACAACATCACTTTTTTCGCATGCAAGTCAGGTTTTGGCGTGGGCTGCGGAGCCTCATTTTTGTCCAACCACTGAGGCTGCCTTTTCAAATTAACATACAGCACCCATTTTTCATCTCCGGTAACAATTTGCTCTAAAAACGGCAAACGGTTTTAATGAGAGAGGAGCGAACTGCAAATTGTGACTCTTTGATTACGGTTGTTGTCAGTCAACTCATGAGGAACCCATTTTCCAAACTTTTGGACTTTGCCAAGTGCACGCAATTGATTGGAAATTGTTTTTTGTGAACAATTTAAAGTTGTCGCAAGCTCTTGTTGGGTAATTTGAGGATTTTGCACCAAAAGAGCTTGAAGAGCTTCTTGATCAAAATTGGACACACGGCCTTGACCACTCTTGTCATCTAACGAAAAATTTCCCTCGCGAAATTTCTCAAACCAACGCTGGCATTTTCTGGCGCTAACTGCATCTTGACCAAGAGCACTACAGATGTTTTTTGCAGCCTCACTTGCTTTTCTTCCTAATTGGAACTTGTAAAGCATGCAGTGCCAAATATGCTCTTCATCCGCCATCTTCTTAGCCCTAGTTTTACAACAAAAACCAAACCAAACACAAACTTTTTCAAGCAAAACTTGTTAATTGCACTTCACACGTTCTGTAGATACCACGTGTTTGAAGGTTATGTCAATACAAGTCAACGCCAAGCAAGATTTTAAACGAATGTTTAAAAACGACATTAATTATTATTAGACCCGATATTTACCCTGTGTGAGTTCTCCCCTATAGGGTCTAGACAGACAGAAAGACACATAGACTTTAACACACACACACACAACACACACACAGTTCTTGCTTTATCTTCGTCATCCCAGGCAAAGATTCAAATTACTTAGCTATTCTGGATGGGTCCTACATTAATATCATGAAGAAGTCTGTATTTCTCATGGCGAAGGTGTAGGCATCTCAGGTGCAGTCAGAGCTAACCTCCTGACATGCCTCTTCCTAGGCATTCCTTGCAACTTAATCTTGGGGAGTTAGACCTGCCTCTTCTAACCTCACAGCCTAATATCTGGGCTTCTACATATCAATGCATTTTCCTGCCTGTCTCAGAGATATTTTGGTTCATGCACCATGGCCCTCTATTGTTATTCTTCATGCAGTATCACTTGAACATGTCGGAATGAATGTATTGTCCTACCTTTCTTTCTTGCTTGCTTCATTGGTTCTGTGAAGAGCCAATCTAATAAATTCATGAGAGAAACTTTATTTCTACCAGGTTAGATTCCATTTTGAAGTTCTTTCTACAAAACATAATGTTCCAATTTGAAATTTTGGTATTCCTACTGAAGTAACTGAGAGAGCAGGGATGTGCTAAAGATTGAGTTCAAAAAGGGATTTGAGCTCTTTACTTCCAGCCATAAGCACCTTGAAAGTGGGCTTACAGAAATTGCTTCTGAAAAAACGAGTGATGCACGCAACAGCATTGGCTCATTGGGTGTTAGAGATTTTTTTTGGGTTGGTTT